GATCACACATCAGCTGACTGCTGTATTGATTTACCACAGGCTTGCTGCCACTCGTTTTCTTCAAGGGGACACACTTTTATTTCCTCTTCTGAAGAAACTCTTTTCCCCTCCCCCCCTTATAAATCCTGAGAAGGTGGAACGCATATTATAAAAATGACAAGCAAGATATTTTGGTGTCAACGTGATATTTAGCTCGTCAATGCTGTCTAGGGAGCCGGTCGGCCGAGCGGACAGCACGCTGGACTTGTGATCCTGTGGTCTTGGGTTCGATCCCAGGTGCCGGCGAGAAACATTGGGCAGAGTTTCTTTCACCCTATGCCCCTGTTACCTAGCAGTAAAAATAGGTACCTGGGTATTAGTCAGCTGTCACAAGCTGCTTCCTGGGGGTGGAGGCCTGGTCGAGGACCGGGCCGCGGGGACACTAAATAGCCCCGAAATCATCTCAAGATAACTTGGTTAGCCACTCTCAGGAAGGGTATGGGGTCCACTACCACAGGCTCTCAGGAAGGGTATGGGGTCCACTACCACTCTCAGGAAGGGTATGGGGTCCACCACCACTCTCAGGAAGGGTATGGGGTCCACTACCACTCTCAGGAAGGGTATGGGGTCCACCACCATTCTCAGGAAGAGTATTGGAACATGGCACTCAAGTTTCCGACACGGTGGAGACTGTAATCCATCAAGGACACGTTGTCAACAATGGCTATAACAACAACACCTGAACCCAAGGCCTCAGTTTGACCTCAATTGGACCCTACGGAAGACTCGAGGAATTGTAAACAAATTTTAAACAACTCAGGGAATGAATGTTCTGCGGACTGGTAAGTGTTGTACATGATCACCACAGGATGAGTGACGCTGCCCACTGCTGCCCAATTCTGCCCCCTATGGCGGTGTGTTCACTCACAGGATGAGTGACGCTGCCCACTATGGCGGTGTGTTCACTCACAGGATGAGTGACGCTGCCCAATACTGCCCACTATGTTGGTATGTTCACTCACAGAATGAGCGTGAGTGATACTAACTTTAACCACCAAGAACAGAAGGAGC